TCAAAAACCATGGAGATTTTCTAAAATGGTATTTAATTTTTATTTTGTCACTAATAACTCTTGGGGTGGTGGTTAATATTAGGTTTGATGCAAGAAAAAAGTATGATTCCCATTACCAAAGAATAATGGATTTCATTACCTACATTGTTACAAATAAAAAAGATAAGGGTCTCCCCCTTCTAGTCATGTCTGACTCCGGAAGCCGGTGCTCACCTCCGTTTCCTAGACAAGGGATCCAGCGTTGTCTGAAAATGCTTCGATGGTCATTTGGCCATCACGACTATAGACCATGGCACACAGAACGCTGTTACCCTCTCACTGGTATCTATTTATCTACTTCATTTATATACATATTTAACTCACATAATTTGATTGTAGTAACTGAACTTTTTCTACTTTTCTTGTTTCTGGTGAATTTCATTATGTCACATACTGTTTACATTATGTTTTTCTGCATTATTACTCTCAAGGTCCTTAACACTGTTTGCTATGAAAGCAGATAGAAAATAGTAGAAAACAGTAGGAGGGATTTCTCTACCACTTATTTAATTTTTCCTATTTCACTTTTTTGTACAAAAATAAATAAACAGAAGTGACATTTTATGAATATGTTACCTTTACAGCATACAAAGTTTACGTTTGATTCTGAGTGACAATCACATAGCTGCAAGGAATACAAAAGCTATTTATATTCATGAAAGAAACTCTGACTGTGAATCTCAAGTAGATGACTACAATCCATTAACATACACCCAAGGCTAACTATATATTTCATGCAAATGTTTGTCACTAAGACCTAATAATATACTGAATCTAGTCTTATTCGTGTTTAAAGTAGATTTACTAAAAACAAGTAGACATATTGTAGTCATAATTAAGTTCTGATGATTTCAGTGGGTCTCTTACTACTCTTAGCAATAGCACTTAGACTTATATACTGCTCTCTCTGAGCGATTTTACAAATGTCAGCATATTGCCCCCAACAATCTGGGTTCTCATTTTACCAATCTTGGAAAGATGGAAGGCTGAGTCAACCTTGAACCAGTGAGGATCGAACTGCCAGCAGTGGCAGAGTTAGCCTACAATATTGCATTCTAATCATTGTGCCGCCATGGGTCCTTGTCCTGCTTAATTTGATAGTCAAATTTGTTTTTAGTTGAAAAGCAGCATTAAAATAAATAGTTTAAAAGTAGGAAAGTAATCAAGAGAAAACAGTTCTCAATCCTTTTGTCCATCTGCTGTTTTCCTAATCATATCATATCATGGGTTCCAAAAATTAAGTCAGGTACATTTAAAAACTTGAGAAAGGAAACACAAACAAAAAGCAAATTAGCATGGGTAAATAGCAGGTACAGAAAAAGATAAATGTGCTTCTCTCTTTGTCCCAAAAGCTAGTTTAATTTTCTCACTCCCAGCACTTTAAAATAGAAAGAAACAGAGTTCAGTTATAAATGCTTGTAATGTAACTTTAGCCAGTCTCTCAACTTAATCAAAAACCTAATTAAAATCAAATAGCATATTGAGTTTATTTGGACTAATGCTGTGAGTCCTTGATCAGATTCTAAGAGTTTATCATGCTCTGCAGAGGCTAGGTATTACGACTAACCAAACACCTTGGATAGCAAAGGCTGGATGATGTTTCTACAGATATTTAAAACATTTATTTTCTTCATATTTTCTCACCAGACCTATGTCAACCTTCTCTTCTGGTACCAGTTCTTCTGTGCTTTCTCTGGGGCTTCTATGATAGACTACTGGCAAATGATATTTTTCAACTTGTTTTTTACATCTGTGCCACCATTAATTTCTGGAGTTCTGGATAAAGACATTTCTGCAGAAACTCTGTTGAACCTTCCTGCACTTTACAAAAGTGGACAAAACTCAGAGGTAACACTTTTTCAAGAATATCCCATAATATAACAGCTTTCGCGGTATAGCAAGATAAATATCCTTTCTAAAGTAGATGTTGGTTCGGTTCATACAATGCATTAAGCCGTGATTTGTTGAATGTGGTCAATTTTCAGCTCAGTAATTCCCTTATTAAACAATTGTATTCCATTGGTTAAAAAGCATCTTTTTAAAACATTTTTTCCATGAAAGGGTGAAAAAATACGTTAAAGAAAGCAATTTTTATAGAGTGTTCAGTGCTTTCTTCTACCATTTTTCATTGATCCAAGCTATTGTGCAAAGTCTGATCTTGCACTAAGAGAATAAATGCAACTCATACATTTTTAAACACATTGATTCTCAGTGGATCAAGCCACAGATATAAGTTGATACAATACGTGCAATAAAATGTGTTAACAAATTAAGGTGCTAGTTTAACAATTGTTAGGGTAGACTAAGATAGGGATATCCAGGAGACAGGTGGGAACATCTCTGTATTTTAACTGATAGCAAAAAAACCCCTCCAAACCAAGACATTCACAGAGAAGATTATCCCACACTAAAAAAGCCACAATCCTTTAAGAAGAACCTCAGCAAACTACAGTATCTATCTAACAAAATGAAATTCAATGGTGAAAAAAGTAAGGTTCTACATTTAGGCAAGAAAAACCAAATGTATAGGTATAGTATAAGGGGTACCTTGCTCAATAATAGTAACTGTGAGAGGGATCTCGGAGTCCTAGTGGACAATCATTTAAATATGAGCCAGCAGTGTGCTGCAACTGCCAAAAAGGCCAACACAGTGCTAGGCTGCATTAACAGAGGGATAGAATCAAGATCACGCGAAGTATTAATACCACTCTACAATGCCTTGGTAAGGCCACACTTGGAATACTGCATCCAGTTTTGGTCACCACGATGTAAAAAAGATGTTGAGACTCTAGAAAGAGTACAGAGAAGAGCAACAAAGATGATTAGGGGACTGGAGGCTAAAACATATAAGGAAAGATTGATGGAATTGGGTATGTCTAGTTTAATGAAGAGAAGGACAAGGGGGGACATGATAGCAATGTTCCAATATCTCAGGGGCTGTCACAGAGAAGAGGGAGTGAAGCTATTTTCCAAAGCGCCTGAAGGCAGGACTTGATGACCTCCAAGGTCCCTTCCAACTTTATTATTATTATTATTATTATTATTATTATTATTATTATTATTATTATTATTATTATTATTATTATTATTATTATTATTATTATTATTATTATTATTATTATTATTATTATTATTTTCTGACTCTAAAAACCAGGTAAAGTTCTGTGGGAAATGATTGTTCATATAACTTGGCTTTGTGCTTGTCAATCAAAATGAAATCTGGAAAGTAGCTTGGTAACTACACAGCAGACAATGCAGACTCTATAATACTAAAATTAATCAATAAGTCCCTAGTAACCTAGTTCCTCATTCTAGTCGAAGTGTGGTTTATGAAACACCCTCAAGAGCAGAAATATGTTACAAAAGTCCAGTCTCCAGATAAAATACATTACAATATTCCAATGCTGGGACAGCTATGGCTAATCTCTACCTTGAAAATGTTACATCTATCATAGTAACCAAAACTGTAATGTGTTGTGATGTTTAAAGTGTTAGAGCAGGTCCAAAATAGACCCAGAGAAACCCAGCTTGAAGTCATTCATGGAAACTCATTAAGTAATTTTGGCCCATCTTACCATATCGGCCCATCCTGCGTTACAAGGTGGCTAATGTGGAGATAAAAGACAGGGAGATTTCCATGGAAGCCCCTTGAGCTTGGTGGAAAAGTCATGCATCAATTTAACCCAAAAAATAATTACATTGGGAATAGATATTTTTGCCCACAAAGGTTTGTTTGGACCTCTTATGATAGACCATCAATACCCCAAGCTCCATACTTTTTTCTTCCATTTAACCCCCCAGTGCTGTTCTGTTTGGATAAAAATATAAGAATAAATAGGTTTATCAATTTAAATAAAAATAAAAATAAATTTTAAAAAATTCAGGTTTTTAGGCATACTACATCTCCTCTGTTTTTTATTTTGAAGGCAATGACAGAGAATGAAACTGATGCAAATCCTGTCATTTACCACTGATTGGTGGCCTTTCCCCATGGCCATCAAGTTATAAGTGATATATCAAGAAAATATACATGTTCTGAAATTCTCTGTTCCTTCTGTGTCCTATTTGCTACAGATTTACAAACCTCTAACATTTTGCCTTGCTATCTTGGATGCCTTCTACCAGAGTCTCATTTGCTTCTTCATTCCTTATCTAGTAAGTGTTCAAATCACAAAGTATTCAACTTTTTCTAAACCAGACTTTCCCAGCCTGTTGCTCTCAAGCTCAGATTTGAAGCATATCAGACTTGAGAAGGCTGATTCGTAAAACTCAGTGCTTCTGTTTCATATTTTGATATATCAGTATTATTTTATCTAATTTTTCAGGTATACCAGGATTCTGATACTGATATTTTCGCTTTTGGAACGGTAGTCAACACTGGTGCCCTTCTTACTATTCTTTTTCACCAAGCTTTAGAAATTCAGATGTGGGTATGTATATAGCTTCAATAACTATCCCAGCTTGCTTGCTTGCTGGCTGGCTGGCTGGCTGGCTGGCTGAATGGAAACAATGTCCTGGCTGTTAAAGTGATAGTCATGTACTTTTGTGATACTATATTTGGGTGTCTGGGTCTGAGTCCCTACCACCTTGGATTTCAAAGAATTATTGAATGATGAAAAAGTAGTGAAATGTCAACATTTGCAGATAGTGTAATACACAGATTCAGAAATAGTATAACTGTGAGAGGGATCTTGGAGTCCTAGTGGACAATTACTTAAATATGAGCCAACAGTATGCAGCAGCTGCCAAAAAAAGCCAATGCAATCCTAAACTGCATTAATAGAGGGCTCAAGTCAAGATCACGTGAAGTTCTAGTACTACTTTAGAAATCCTTGGTAAGGCCACACTTGGAACACTGCATCCGGTTCTGGTCATCGCAATATAAAAAAGATGTTGGGACTCTGGAAAGAGTGCAAAGAAGACCAACAAAGATGATTAGGGGGCTGAAGACTAAAACACACAAAGAACATTTACAGGAATTGGGTATGTCTAGTATTTTCATTCTAATATTTGAAGAGCTCCCACAAAGATGAGAGGGTCAAACTATTTTCCAAAGCACCAAAAGGCAAGACAAGAAACAACAGATAGAAACTAACCAAGAAAGAAGCAACCTAGAACTAAGGAGATGTTTCCTAATGGTGAGAACAATCAACCAGTGGAACAGCTTGCTTTTAGAAGTTGTGCGTACTCCATCACTGGAGTTTTTCAAAACGAGATTGGACAACCATTTGTCTGAAATGGTATAGGGGTTGAGCAGGGGGTTGGTCCCTTCCAACTCTGTTATTCTATGGTCTATGAACTATGTTCCAAATTAATACTAGGCAATCACAGCTATTCAATTTATACTATTTGAATTAATTGTTCATGCTTTTGAGCAGACATATATACCTTCACACTTTTTCAATATTTCTCTGCATAAAAGTATCATTCCCCTCATTTCTATTAGAAATATTTATGTATTTCAGTAAAATTTTACATAATTACAAATATTATTGCTCATTGCAGTTAGAGAAGACTGCAGATAATATTTTTGCTGAAAATGGAAGAAAGTTAAAGTTCTAATCCTGGCTTAGGCACATAGTCAGCTGAGTGATCTTGAGCCTGCCACTTCTGAAAATTCTTTCCAAGTAAACTGCAGAGAAAACCCAGGTAACACTGACTCAAAGGTACAGACATACCAAAATTCAATAAATGGACACCATGGCTTGGAAACCAATATTCATTTGCACAAAGCCAACAAAAAAGCATGACTTTTCAAATGCCACAGAAAAGATACTGCTCTTTCCCACCAGACCCACACTTGTCTTGAAAAGACCTGACAGAAACCATCAGAGTTAATTCCAAAATTTGATATTCCTCAATGCACATTCCTCATTGCTGCAATTTTACATTCAGATGCCTTTGTTTGCATAGAAATTGCACTGCCTCAGAATAAGATTGTTACTATGGCATTTGCCCTTTATATTCTCCTGATGTTCTGCACCAAGACATTCCTAGACAGGAATTGCAACTAAAAGTTTTATTTCTCTAATTGCTTTTCTTTTCTTCTGTTCACAGACCCTGTTCCATGGGATTGCAATAATTGGGAGCATTTTGCTGTACTTCGTCTTCTCATCCATCTACAATGCAACCTGTGTCCTTTGTAACCATCCCACAAATCCCTACTGGATTATGGAGATGGAATTTTCAGAGCCAAGCTTTTATTTCACAATCATTATTACGCCAGTCATAGCACTTCTCCCAAGGTTTGACCCTTTTTTTCTTACTTGTTCTTGTATGAGGTCCCACTCAGTAACTAGGGATTACAAAGTTTGATTAAATGTTGTTCCAAGAAACAGAAAGCCTTATCTTAGCAGTATGGTATTATTTAAGAAAGGTCTTAATCGAATGTTGCAAATAAGGCAACTAGTACCATGCAAAAAGATCCAGATGGATTCTTTAAATCTGATTTCCAGAGAACAATCTTTACTAGTCTGTTTTTTTCCCCATTCCCACAAAAATCTGCCAGCCAAGAGCCAGTTCCTTGGTATAGCTGTCATTTTATGGAAGGGAAGCTTAAAATCCTTGACAGCCACATCCTTTAATGCAGTACAACTTTCTCTGTACAGTTTGGGGAAATTGAGTTGACATGCTTTGCTAGAATATAAAAGCTTTGTTGTGTTATGTGATGCCTTTTTTTTTCTTTTTTGAGACGCAACTCTTGAGTACTTCAAAGGAAAGAAATATGTTTCCATGTTAGAGCTAGTGTCACAGCTCAGACTTCTCCAGGTGTCATATGATCCTTAGAAATAGCACAAAGATTGACTATCTGCTTTTCCTTCTTAACACCCAAGGTCTAAGGGTTATGAAAAGAATTCCCTCTGGAAGTCTTATTCTTCATGAGTTCCACTTTAGTCTCTTACTACAAAACACATTGATCTGAGGGCAGAGCATTTTCGCTAGTTTCCCTAACATTACATTCCTATGAATTTTCTGTAAAATGAGAAGTTTTTTGCTTATTGTAAAACTGATATTCAGAATGAGGTGTCATGGGAGTAGCTGCAATAACAGAAGGAAACTTGAATGAATGCATCCAAATGTATTTATAAATGTTGGCTTTTAGTATTAACATGAGCAAGCCTGGATAAACTTCAGAGTTGTTCCCTTTTTTTCTTCTCCTTTCCTGGCATAACTGTAAGAAGAGCAGAAGTTTCCTCTTCTTTTCATAACATACCTTCACTGATATCCAAATCCAAACAAAAGTATGGGTAATACTATTATGGTGTCTGAAACAAGCCAACTTCAAAACGTAGTTTATGAGCTGCCATATTTCAAAAAACAGAATAGGCCTCACGTACATATGACTCTCCAAGACATTTGGGGCAACTGACAATTTGTCACCTTGCTATTGCTGCTGATTTACCGCTATTCTGTCAATGCATTTGCGGCAACATTTCACATGAGTCCCTACATGTGTCACCTTCCAACTGTTAACACTAATGTTATATAGAGTGTATGTTGCCATTACTACTTCTTCTGCAGCTTCTTCATGCCAGGACCAGGAAGAACCTTCTGCACGTCTGTGTCTTTGGAATCAGTTGCATTTGCTTTGCTGTCTTTCAGGGAGATATGAGGATACAAAAATATCCTCAGAAGTCACAGATCCCTTGAGCTGAGCCACAAAAAGAAGTGAGGATGGGCTGACTAAGGGCAGAAAGGACAGAAGAGTGATGGAGGACTTGGTAGAAGCCTTGACAGTTTAAATACTCTTCCCTGTAATCTTGAACACACTAAGATTGCTGGAAAGGAAAACTATGATTTCTGTTTATATCAGAGAACATAGAGAAATACACTTATCATGGGCTATGATCCACAGACTGGCATTACTAAACCACTTTTTTCCTGAAACATAGCAGCTGGCCTTAACATGATTGAATGGCAGTTTGTAACTGTCCAAAATCACCAAACAAAACCCTAGCCCAAGAACAGGCAAACTGATATATTCTATATGTTCTGGATTATATTTCCAAATTATCTTGCTATGTCTGAACTGATGTGAGTTATGCCTTATTTGTTTGGATAGTACCAGGTTACCTATGCATCTTTAGCCATGGCACCACCTTGGCAGGTAGATGGAAACTACCTTTGTGACACATCTTTTGTGACACTAACTTTCATAAAATTATGAGTTTCCTCATTCTAGCTTTTGTTCCCTTTCTGTATCTTGGTGTGTACTTGGCAAAAGGCACCTCCAGTGCCTTTGGAATCTATACTGTACGTGTAGTATTTTAGAACTGTTCTCTGTAGAAAGTGGAATCTTTATATGAATAACTAAAAATATCGTTCACATTATACTTCATCTAGCATCTACAAAATGAGTGAGAGCTCATCTTGGAAAAATGACTAGTGTTTTTCTTTGCTTTCCCTAGATATCTTATATTGGCTCTACAAGGGACTTTCAAAATATCTTGCATCCTGAAAGCACAACAACTGGAAAAGTTGCCAAAAGAACAACAGGACTGGGAAATACAGAAATGGAAGCTGATAAAAGAAGGCCCAGCAATCCACAGTAATGTTCCTAGTCAACCCAATGAAAATATCTGTGATCATGCAGGACTTGGGCTTCCTGAGACCAGTGTTCTTCAGGGGCTTGAGCCTCCGCAGAAAGAAATGCTTGGAGAAAGGACTTTGAATGAGGAAGCCAAGGACGATGGCAAAAGATGCATCCAGGAAGAGACTGGACAACTTTCAGCTGTGGAGCCATTTACTAGCCAAATCCCCCAGAACACTGAAAGTTCTGCTCAGCGAAGCCATCGGAGGTCTGTGAGTGCAGTGACTTTGTGAAGGAGGCACAGCTTTCAAGGAGGAAAAGTAAACATTGACTGCTTTCCCAACACCTGTGGCCTCACTCTCCATGAATAAAGGCAATGGAAGGAACAATATAATTCCTGTTTATGTTAGCATAGCAGCAATGTCCGGATGGGAAACCTAAAATAAAATTTCACCAGCATACCGAGAAACTGTGTTTTGACTGTACAGTGCAAGACATCATGGAAGCATATGGCTATATATTTCTTGTGGGGGGGGGGAGGGGCTCAAATAGTTTGGTGGACAATTGCACAAAATTTCCTTTGTGGGGACTTGAAAATAGACAATATTTGTGGGGAAGGGCTGTTTCTTTTTTCCAGTGAAATTTCAGAATCATGCCTCGTTTCTGCCTTGCTGATGAATAGGAGTTATATAGCTTCAAAATTGCAACATTTTAATAATAATAATAATAATAATAATAATAATAGTAATAAAAAGTTGGAAGGGACCTTGGAGGTCATCGAGTCCAACCCCCTGCTCAGGCAGGAAACCCTATACCATAATGATCGTGTTTAGAGATATAAAGACATAAACCAGTAATCTAGATATTTTAAGTGGGAATCCAAAACTGTTTTGAGGGTTTTTTTTAAGAAATCTGAAATATACTGTATGTACATATGTAATATATGTTGCATATGTGTATATGTGAAAGACTGCACATGCCAAGTTGTTTTTTAATGGTCAGATAATTGTTTAGTTCTTTTAGGTAACTAGCAACCTAGTGATCTAATTCCATATTTGGAAGTAATGTTTGTTGATTTCTGAGGAATTATCATCCAAGATATATTTTTAAGATCTTTACCTCTACTTTGAATGGGATGCCCAGGAAGGAAGGTGGATCAGGGATCTAGAAAGTAAAGAGAACTCCTAGGAAGAGAGAGTGAAGGCAGGAACCAAGGAAAAGTAAATCCTATGAAGAGAGAGTGAGGGAAGGAACCAAGCCAGTTCAGCTTTGAAATGAACAACTAAAAGAAAGTTTCACCAAAGGAAGTCCAGACCTGTTCTCTATTACCTGGAATTATAAATTTAAGCTGTGAGAAGGCAGTTTTGGTTGAATGTTACAGGAAAAGATAATTCCTAAGAGCATTTCAATGGTGGGGGGGAGAAGAGAAGGAGACACATCTTTTCTCTAAATGTGTCAAAGCAGGGCATGCTTTCATTTCCCACACTGAATGAAGGTTAGATTACATATTCCAAATCACCTTATTGTCTGGATTCATAAGAATGACAGCTGACTTCCCAGACTGGGAATACTCATACTTTCATCTCAGGCAGAATCAGTACCAAAGGCATGACTTCTGTCACATAAAGAAAAAAGCATGTGCCCCAGACCTCTTCTTCTCCTTCTCAAGAAAAAGCCTGGGTTTTTTTTAAAGCAGTTGCAAGAGTTCTGATAAAAAGCTGGAATTATCATCTGAGGCCAGAGAAGGTCCAGAGGAAAACAGAGGACTTTGTTTTGGGATACCCCTAAGCAAAAAAGAAAACATTTAAGCAGAAGCTGTATTAATTGTTAATTTATTCTGTCTGTTTCTGTTTTAAGTTGAGTATTATTTATATCTCTGCCCAAGCTCACTAATCCTGCCTTGTATGCATATAGCAGGTTGTGTTATGATCATTTTTTTCCCCTGAGAAATCCTCTGAGTTTAGTAAAACTCGGAACTTGGTGAATTTATGATATGGTAGTACCATTATTGTAATTCCCTTTTAAAGTTGTTGCTGTCCATTGATTTGAGAAGCTCTGACTTTACCTCTTTCAAAATGTTAACATTTTAATATCTAATGTTTAAAAAGAAATTACAGTTATTATCATTTTTTTAAAATAAACTTTGATTTTTGTTCATCTCTGGTATGTCTCCCAAGAAAGAGCTGAAATGTCTTGCATATACCTGAGCATTATGTAACCAGCAGGCAACACTACGGCAGTTATTTGCCTTTTTATTTGCCAGAAAGGTTACAAAATATGGGAACCCTTTTTTTCTCTCACAAAAGGTTGGAAGAAACATCCCATGGGAGGTGCCATCTTGAAAGATGCATGGTGGCAGTAGGAACTACCAAGCCTCTAGGCCAGTGGTTCTCAACCTTTTTAATGCCGCGACCCCAACCAATCGTAAGTCGAGGACTAAACCGGTCGTAAGTCGAGGACTAAACCGGTCGTAAGTTGAGGACTAAACCGGTCGTAAGTCGAGGACTACCCAGCCGGTCGTAAGTCGAGGACTTTCCCTGCCTGGGAGCGCCGCACATGCGTGGTTCCGCCCCCTGCGCTGGCCGAGGCATAGATGGCAAGCGGCAGAGACGGAGCAGGCCGACCACCAGCTGGCCCAGCCCAAGGGAGGTAAGGCACCCACCGGAAAAGGGGAAAAAAATGGCGGACAGCCTTGCTTGGCGACCCCCGTGAAATGGTCGATTGACCCCAAATGGGGTCCCGACCCACAGGTTGAGAACCACTGCTCTAGGCAGAATAGAAGATAGCACCAGGGTGAAGACCTAAACCGTTTATAAGAAAGGACATTTGAGGCCTTCAGTCACCTTTACAGGTTCAACCCACTTCACTACAGGGCCTATTCCAATTTTGTAATTTTTACACTATAGATCTGGTTCTGTAGGAGATTTTCATCAGTATCTTGTCATGGATAGATTACTTCCTTAGATGCGATTAGCTGGAGCCAATAATCTCTGTGGAGAGGAGGAACTGATTAAAGTGGCCTATCCCAGGTTCAATATAGATCCAAAAGATTCCCCCTCCCCGCCCAAAAAAATGGGAGCACTATATTAGCCTCTGGAATTGCTTCAGAACAACTATTTCCTGGCCACTGATCCTGTATAGGCCTTCGGTTCTCTGAAGTATTTCAGGAAATTAAGTACATGAAGTGATGGCTGGCGCAATAGTGGCAGAAAATGAGACGCAAGTATGCCTGGATATGGCTCTGAGGTTAAAATGGAGCCTGACTACATTTTTATCTTTATTGCATGTATGGAGTGTCATTCAGTTCCACTATTTAGAACATCTTGGACCTCGTTAGGGAAGGGCAGATCTGAAAAATTAGTTAGTGTAACTGTAATCATAGGTCCAAGCATTTAAGGGCCAAAAATACTTGCATTTGCTCCAAGTTGAATGCTAGATGGACAAAATCTATTGATATGACAGCAATGAAGTCTTGCAATGTGACCCAGGATGCTTTTTGAGCCTTTAGAACTCAAGGAGGTGAACAGAATTCTCTATAAGCACTGCCAGTTGTGTATTAGACACTGTATCCCACCTGGCTGGTTAATGCTTTTTTGATGGAAAGGGTAGTTCCCAAAGCCTTTAAAGAGGCTCTGTTCAACCCACTGCTCAAGTCTAGATGGAACAAAATCCCACAACTATCATCCAATCTCCAACACCTCCTCTTTTTGAGGAAGGTTAAGAAAATGACTGAGCTGCAATTACAGAAGGTTCCACAAGATAGGAATTCTCTGGATCCCTGCTGGTTAGATTACCACACTTATTCTACATTGGTCTGCTCATAAAGACCATTCAGAAAACTTCAGCTGCTCCAGAATGTAGTCCCAGTCATACCATATTACATCAATGCTGCAAAAGCTGCACTGGTTACCAGTGTATTTCTGAGTTCAGTGCATTGGGTAAAGGCCAATATGGCCAGGCCTTGGGTATCTAAGTCACCAACATAGCCAGGTAGATTTGGCCTGGCCAATTCAGACAGCCAGGGAGAACCAACTAAGAGTACCCACCTGTTAGCAGGGTGCTCTGTTGCGACAGCTTCCTTCCTATAGAACAGCTGGCCTCTAAGTCAAATATAGCCTTCAGAAGCTGGAAAAAAGACCTTAATTTTCCAAAAGACTGAAATTGGCTTAGAAGCCATCAACACCTATTGTTTAATACCATGAAAGTCAGTCTCATATATTATGGTCCTGTATATCAGTACACCATCTAAGTTCCTCTGTAGTAGGGAGGATTGAATAAAAAACAGTTTTAGATGCTCCCGGACAGCTTTATGCAGTGCAGGATGCATCTCAAATAATGGTGTTGGGAAGATGTGTTCAAATCAAGACCCTTTTTGGAATGCTTCATATACCAAATTGGAACAGTAATGGTAGAGATCATTAAAGCTTTCTAAATTCTTATTTTTTTCTGGATGCATTGTAGGTATTTGAAAAGAAGATGACACAGAGTAAGGCTATATTAAAATTGCATTTTATTAAGAAAACAACCAAATTGAATGGCTTGGAATGTAAGACTTGGCGAATTTGTTCCTTTTGAAAGAAGAAAACCAATCACTGAGTTCTCTAGAACAGGGCTTTTCAACTGGTGGTACACGTACCACCGGTGATACATTGGCACCTGTCAGGTGGTACGCGGCCCTGCCCAGCCCAGCCATCTGTAGCGGGGGAGGGAACGAGCCAAAGTGGCTCAGCGCAGGACTTGCCATGAGAGAGAGAGATTCTACAAACTACTAGTGCTCCTTGAGTAACCATGACTGTTGACCTCTAAAACCAAGCCAAAACTTTCCCTTCTTCTCCCATTTTGCCTTTACACCACTATCATTTTGCCATCTGAAGGTTTCTCTTTTTAACCCAGATTTTTTAAAAACCAGAAACAATAGTGGATCAGTGGTCACTACAATGCATCCAGACAGAATAAGAATTTCCAAAAGCAGTCTCCAGTGCTATAATGAAGCTACCTTTTACAAAAGTGCTGCTTAAAGGTGTTTATCACTTCTCTAACAAGTGTTAAAACAATAAACCAGTCGATTCAGACTAATAGCCAGGTGTAATCTAAGCATTTGGGGGCTCATAAATATTGATTTGTAGATCCAAGTATCATGGCAGCCAGCTGCTATGCCTACAGCAACAGAAACATTGTAAATGTTTACAAAAAGGCTTGTCCTTTTTGAGGCTCTGGATAAAGAGCAACTAGAATACTTTTTTTATCCACCACAAATGTTTTTTTTCTATTGATCCAGAAATTTGGTGATGGATGGCAAAAAGAGAACCATTCATGCTCTAGAGGCAATTTTTTTTCCTGTCAAAAGGAGCAGTCCCACAGGGCTGAGGTGTCAGAGGCTGATGGATGGAGCTGGAGCAAGCCAAGGATGAGGAAAGAAATAAGCCAGGTGGGACACCCACTGTCTCTC